TTAAATTAATCACCATGTACCGGTAGCATAACTTATACTACGAGCAACTTTAATATTTTACCGTAAACACACATAACGTAGACTGATTTCGTATAAATTATCTAACGATGCTCTCTAATGGATAGAAAGCTGAAACTCGGCACAAACTTTAGTCAAGTCTGCGTGCTAATAACGAACGAAATCCGAACTCAAACGCCTTAATTTGGGGACGTAAAAATATACGGCCGAATGTTGATTGATTTAAATAAAAGGGCAGCAGATTTAGCATAAAGTTGCGAAATTAATTAAGTATCTTACCTTTCGCTTATAATAAAAAAAACACACGACCCTCCTCCTCATCAGTGAACAAAGTAATTCTGGTCCACGTGGAGTGTGACACCAAAGCCATTAGAAAGCGGACAAATCCCGTTAAGACAAACACTGCATGGTCCCTTGTGAACCAGGAAATCCTGAGTTTCATCCCAGGCCACGGACAACGTGAGCGGACGAGTGATGCCTGAACCGGTCCTCAGCCTCGTGCCCCTATCAGCAACCCGCTACGTCCTTCATCCAGCAGTGGATTGACGAACGGCTGCAAACAATGAAGCTTAATTAATTAACGCCAAGCGGGCCAATGCACGTGAGCGTTTTACGCAACCGACGATTCAGATGAAGGTGCAACTATTGAGGACATAAAATAAGACACAAACGGGGAACGAGGAGCTCTCAATGTTTCACTTTTAGCGGTGTGGAGTTTTTCGAACGGATGAACGATATCCGATTTGGCCAGTTGGTCTCACTTTTCGACCAATTAGGGCACAAATAACGTGGCCTTTCGCTTTAACTTGTCTAAATCCCAGCTCCGTTGATAATTATTTCGGATCGACTGCCACGCGACCAACATCAATGACACCGCTGAGTGTGTGGGGCAGTGGGAGGAGTCATCTCGTGTAGCAACATCAATCGGCCAGCACTCGTCATTAGTTGTATTGTGGTTTCGATGATCGTGTTGGTGTAATGTCAGTTTTATTCTAAAACTATAACCCCCCACGACCCGACAGAGCCGAATCAAATAAAGTTGTCACGTGAGCAACTTGATTAGATATTAGTCGTGAAGGCCTATCGGATTATTCCAGTCTAAATACAGATTCTAATTCTACACGTATAGAATTTATCTAGGTCACTTGAATGTTTTATCTTCTATGCAAATCCCTTTGGAATCGCTTCTGCTCTGCGAGATTTCCGAACAGTTTCCTTGTTCACCGCGATGACAACCTCACCAGCCAAAACATTTTTTTTGTTACAACGACCGCAACAACAACAACAAAATTACAATTCCATAAAATGATATCACTAACAATGGCTCGGCCTTATAAACGCGAGCTCGCCTTCTCGAATCCCTTCCAATCCACCCCACCCCCCAAGAGGAGAGAGAGAGAGCGCGAGAGAAGATGCGGATCGACAAATTCCCCGTCGCGTTCACCGCAACAGCCAGCGACAAACGTCTCTCCCTCGGGCCCGACACTTGTCTCTTCCATTCAGAATCAGAATATTTATGCTGGAGGAATACGATGACCTATAAAGCTCTTTTTTTTACAGATGTCCACAACGTTACAACACCAATCAAACAAAACACGCCAGGAGTGAAAAGTATAGGTATAGTAAATAAATCACTTTCAATATATATGCAAATACAACTAAACTATTGTTTTATCTTACCAGGTAAAGCCCACTGAACTATTAGCTTATTTTTCAGAAGCGGCCTGGCCACAAATAATAGCTCAACGAAGTGGGCTTATCATCACGTGGACATTTATAGCAGCAACATAATCTAAACAATCGCGCCGGCGAGGTCACCGCGAGCATTTTTTTTATCTTTGCCGCATGTGGCCAAATCTTCCGAAGCTAAGCATGGAAAACCAGCCTGGTATAAGTACTGTACTCGGAACAAGACTGCCAAGACTGTCCAGGAAGAATATCGGATGTTTGCATGATTGGGTCATCGATGTGGTCAGCAGATGGCGGCACAACGATGGATTATTGAATCTATCGGTGTGGATCTCTGCGTGCTGTTGTTATTGCACGCCCCTGAGCGTGGTGGGTTGTCTCCGGGTCCTCCGGTTTCCTCCCACAAGCCACACGCGGCTTGGTTTATGACATTGGCCAAACATCCCCAACACAGGACCCTCTTGAAAACGAGTCTTAATATCCAGGCGATGTTATCCTGGATAAAAATGCATTACTATTACGCGTAGTCGTCATATTTAATGTATAAAACAGACATGTATACTTGAATATACATACGTGTCTAAATGTACAGGTTTACTCACTATGCGCAAAATCCACGCGCTCTTTAATAAACACAAGAATCTCGTGTGTGTGTGACACAGATCACATCATTCTGGAATAGCGAGCGAGCACCAACTATATATCATTAAGGCCGGAACGAGAAGGCTGTCGTGGCCCGGATCACGACATTCAGTCTCGCGCACACCACACCAGATAATAATCTCATGCTCAATCGACCTACAGGAGGGCTTGAGATCAATTATATCGAGCGTTAGCAGCGGGCCCGGAATCGAACTCAGGTCGCTGCGTTTCTACCGCAGTATGCTACCCAATGCGCCACCGCTTCCCACACATACAGAGTATTAAACAAAATACAAAGATCCCGGCACATGAGGGGTGGGTTAACAACAACCACGCCCCACAGCCTTGTTCTCCCGAGTGGCGATATTGACGCACGAGTTAAATATTCGCCACTGTTATTGTTCGTGAGCGGGAATCGAACTCGGCTTGCCCGCGTTCGTAGCGCAGCGCGCTGAGCATTGCGCCACCGCTCCCACCCCACAAAGATCCCCCGTATAGCCTTAACAGACTGTAGGGGCAAGTGCTGTTAGCGAGCACCTATGAAGACCGGAACGGTACACGAGGGGGTGGGTGGCCAGCACCACGCCCGACCGCCTTTGTCTCCCCAGTGGCGATATTTACACACCGCACCAGGTACTCATTTAAGGCTGAGTCGACCTAGGGGAGGCCCAGGACCGGTTCAGATAATCGTCACTGGTCGCCAGGTTCATAGCGCAGCGCGCTAACCGCTACACTACCGCTCCCCACCCCACACACACATATATATATACATACACACTGCTAATTACACACACACGCGCACGCACGCGTTCACTCGCTAGAGTGTTTGCTCCCTGCGGATTTCCCTGCCGCGGTTGGCGGGGTGGGCGAGAAGACGCGGCGATGTCGACGTAGTGGGTGGGGGTGGGGGGTGTGTGAGAGAGGGCGGTGGGGGGCGGTGGATGAATTTGTTTGATCGGTGGTCGAGATAGCGGCGGCGACTCGACGGGTGGAGGAGAGTGGTGGATCTGAGAGCAGATTACGCGGCGCGGTAAGGAAACGCGGCGAAGGCAGAGCTCGCATTAACGTAACGTGGGTGATGGCGATGGTGGCAAGCGGTGACTTCATAGATTGATAAGGCGATGCGTTAATGTGCGCATGCTTGAACTTCTTTGGCACCGTACGTGGCTAACCGTGCTAATCGGAGGTGCGGGGGGGGGGACAACAAACCAGAGGTCGCAACCGGGTACCCGATACCAGTACCCTACCGATACCCAGCTACCCGTACCTGGCCGGGTACCCGTTTGCGACCCTGGTGCGGCCGGGTACGGGTAAGGAATCAAACCCCGTTTGCGACCTCTGCAACAAACTAAGTGGTGGACGTTCAAAGCGTCGTGGCGATTGCGATGCGGTGATAAGTGAAAGCAGTGGGTGAACATCCAGTGTGATGGAGTTAGGCTCACGATGCCGGTGATAGCAAATTGTTTGGCGCTGATGGTGATGAATGTTTAAAGTGATGCGGTGAATTGGTGAGTGGTGACGATAATGCATTTTAGGCGGACTTGCTAGATGAAGATGATGCCGTCATTTCTTGAGAACTGCCTTTTGTTTAGTTCGTTGTCCTTCCCCTCCGCACCACCGATCAGCACGGTTGGCTCCGTACGGTGCCAAAGAAGCTCAAACACACACACACACGTACACACGTGCATACGATGGTGACAACGGCGGCAAAAAACATATTCAAAGCCGACGTGGAGATGCTGATGTGGCGGTGGTGGCGATGACGACGACAAGCGTGGCGAACTTGAAAGTTTGATGCGGCGACGAAGACGCATGGCCCGTGCGCTCATCGCAACCGAGGCCCCCGTCACACGCAGGGCACGAAGCACGGAGAGAGACGCCGAGTGCGGAGCGCGCCTCTCTCCGTGAACGCGTGCGCGCTGCTTAGGAAAGCGGGGGGGGGGGCGTCCCGTGCTATCGCGCCGGGAGCGACGAGGAGTGAGTGGGAGGAGGAGGAAGGGAGGGAGGAGGGGTGGGATAGTAGTGGCGGTAGTGGTGGAAGGAAAGGGCGCTTACGGAGGGGAGGCTGCCCAACTGTGTGACGACAGCCCTGGCGGGGGCAGCCCGTGCTGATTGGGCGCACGATTTGAAGCCTCCTCCTATATCTCCCCCCCCGCGCCAGCACTCAGGCTGCACTCGCCCACAGACGCGGCCCGACAGCCGAGACACACGCACGCACACACTCACCCTGCCACGACCACACCGTCACCATTATCAACACCACCACCAACTAATATACGCAGCAGCGGCAGTCGCGGCTCACGCAGGCTCCTTGCCCCGGTTATGCAGCGAGCGCGCAGTTTCTCGGCGCTCTGAAAAAACGTGGGTGCGCGCCGCGTCTCGGCGCCACCGCTACGGAGAGTTCAAAGCTCACCCCGCCACTCAAATTGTTGTTCGCCGCCCTCTGCGTGTCGTTGAATTGTCGCTGTGGTGGTGGTGGTGGTGGTAGGAGTAACGGCGGCGGCGTCGGCTGTTGATCATCTGTTTCTCTGTTTATTTTTGCGCCAAACTCTGCCACCATTTCTTTCGCTGCGCTGCCCGCCCACCCGTTCGCGTTGGATCCGTCGGCGTACTGCGAGCCTCCGGTGTACAACCCGGAGCTCTGCCCCAACATGATCGCGGCGCAGGCCAAGCTCGTGTACCAGCTCAACAAGTACTACACGGAGCGATGTCAGGCTAGGAAGGCGGCCATCGCCAAGACCATCCGCGAAGTGTGCAAGGTGGTGTCCGACGTTCTCAAGGAGGTGGAGGTGCAGGAGCCGCGCTTCATCAGCAGCCTGAGCGAGATCGATGGCCGCTTCGAGGGCCTCGAGGTCATCTCGCCCACCGAGTTCGAGGTGGTGCTCTACCTCAACCAAATGGGCGTCTTCAACTTCGTGGACGACGGCTCGCTGCCCGGCTGCGCCGTCCTCAAGCTGAGCGACGGGCGCAAGCGCAGCATGTCGCTGTGGGTGGAGTTCATCACGGCGTCGGGCTACCTGTCGGCGCGCAAGATCCGCTCGCGTTTCCAGACGCTCGTTGCGCAGGCGGTGGACAAGTGCAGCTACCGCGACGTGGTGAAGATGGTGGCGGACACGAGCGAGGTGAAGCTGCGCATCCGGGAGCGCTACGTCGTGCAGATCACGCCCGCGTTCAAGTGCGCGGGCATCTGGCCTCGCAGCGCGGCGCACTGGCCCCTGCCGCACATCCCCTGGCCCGGGCCAAACCGCGTGGCCGAGGTGAAGGCGGAAGGCTTCAACCTGCTCTCCAAGGAGTGCTACGCGCTGGCCGGCAAGCAGAGCTCGGCCGAGAGCGACGCCTGGGTGCTGCAGTTCGCCGAGGCCGAGAATCGCCTCTTGCTCGGCGGCTGCCGCAAGAAATGCCTCTCCGTGCTCAAGGCGCTGCGCGACCGGCACCTCGAGCTGCCGGGCACGCCGCTCAACAACTACCACATGAAGACCCTGCTGATGTACGAGTGCGAGAAGCACCCGCGCGAGTCGGACTGGGACGAGTGCACGCTGGGCGACCGCCTCAACGGCATCCTGCTGCAGCTCATATCGTGCCTGCAGTGCCGTCGCTGCCCGCACTACTTTCTGCCGAACCTCGACCTGTTCCAGGGGAAACCACACTCGGCGCTGGAGAACGCGGCCAAGCAGACGTGGCGCCTCGCACGCGAAATCCTCACCAACACCAAGAGCCTAGACAAACTCTGAGCGTTGCTGGCGATCGCGCGTGAGTGTCGTCATCCATTTGATTTCCCTTTTCTGTTTCGTTGTTTGTTTGTTTGTGTTGGTTTGTTTTGATCGCGTCAGTGTTTTTGAAAGACGGCGGCGATGGGCGGGTGTGGGTGGGTGGGTTGGGTATGTTTGGCAAACAAAAACTAAAACAAAAGTCGGATCGGTGGCAAGACGTTAAGTCACCCACGATTATATATATACAGTGAGATTATATATAATGACCGCAGTTGCCGGGCGAATATGGAATAATATCGCAATTTTCTTTTGGCCCACGGCTCATTGGCAAACGCAATATACTTATAATCACACGTTTAAAAAAAAATCGACAGACATCATCGACCGTGATGTCAAATAAACGGTGACACTGGAACCGATGAAGGAAGGCGATTCCAGCAAAACGGCGACAGAGATAGCAACAGGGTCCGGTTTGACATCGAATTCTGATCGAGTTTGGAGACTCCCCCCACCCCCTGCACCGACACATTATCTCGCTAACCGCAGTGTAGCGTGAGATCAACATTCAAACCTTAAGGGGGGGGGGGTCGTTGGGGTCGTCGGCCTACCCACGATACTTTTATGAGTTTGGGGGCAAGGGAGGGGGGGTAGGAGAAAGGCATCGGAGTTGTGCAGTAATTATACATAGACCGTGTCCTCTGATATACCTATGATTTTAGTCACTCCAAGTTTACATCAGAGGCGCTCCAGCCAAGGCGCGCATTGCATAGTGGGACGTTTTTTTGTTGTTGTAAGATATTATATTATAAATATATATGAGAAAAAGCAACATTCCATTCGTTTGTTTCCACCGCAACCTCACTGGATGCCCCATTTGTTGTGAACACTTTTGGCTCCCTCCACCCTAACCCGTGTAAATATTACTTGAATCGAATATTAATTTAAGTGGGACGTTCACGTTAAACAGAATTGGCATTGTATGTAATGGTTTTGTTTATTATTATATATTTTTTTCTCTCTCTCTCTCTCCGTTTTGGTACAATATGCCACAAGTATAGCGTGAATAAAGGAAGCACTTGAAAAGCACAGTATTTAGTTCGCTCGCTCATTGTGTCGTTTTAATTGTGTTCCGTAGGTTTATCCGAATTGATACAGCCCAAGGGGATAGTGAAATGAAGGAAATTATCGCGTGCATGCTTGTGTACATCAACTACACATGCCTTCGTACTTTGTTTGATAATTACGATAATTACTGTAAATTAAAAAAAAGCCATACGTTGATTGACCGCATGTCTAAGATTTTACAACACGGAGCGCGTACGTAGGATGGATATAATGCTTAGCGTATGACACTCTTTTAACAGTTTATACGCGTCACAGATGTAAATAAAATGTTAATCACGTCTCCCATACCGCATGTCGACTGCGTCTTTGTCCAATAAAAAGCACTGCTCAAACTCGAGTTGGCGCTCATGGGAGGCCGCGTTCCATTATTTCCATGCAACTGGAGCCGTAAATTTGGGAGTTGTTGTTAGGAGTCAGACGGGGGAAGAGTAAAAAAAACGAAAAAGTTCAACACGGGGATGATGAACCCCCAAACTCGGCAGACTTTGCGTGCATGTAGCTCGCTTCGCTACGAACCCGGTGACCTAAGTTCGATTCCCGCTCACGGACTACACCAGTGACGATTGTCTGAACCGGTCCTGGGTCCTGGCCTAGGTCGACTCAACCTCAAATGAGTTCCTGGTGCGGTGTGTAAACGTCGCCAATCGAGAGACAAAGGCAGCCGGGGATGGGGGTGGGGTGGTACTGGCCACCCACCCCTTCGTATAGGGGGCTCGCTAACAGCACTTGCCCCAACAATGTGTTAAGGCTATACGGGGGATATTTGTTTTTTTTGTGCTATACTCATACATATTCTCATTGCGGAGTTCAACTTTTGTCCAAAATGAATATTATAGACAAAAGTCGGTTAAGGCGACACACATTGCGCCAAAATACGAGGATATTTTCCGAAAATGTAAATCTAAGTGATAACAATGCGTCGTTATTATTCATTGGTGACGACGAGGGCGTCGTGGGCGATATGAACAGCTCGCCGCGGCCACGCGGATCGCGCTGGAAATGAATACGGGGGTGGGGGTGGGCGCGTTAATCATTGATCGTGTCTGTAATATTTGTGTGGCTAACACGAGACGTTATCGTCATGAAATCGGTGCGTTTGTCGAGTGTAAAAAAAAATTACCGGGGCCGTTTAAGCGGCCTGGCCTTTGTCGCTATTTTAATAACACGGCGTCGAAAACGCTTACACTTTTTAGGGGATTGGTATAAATCCGCTCTTCGACTACCGTAAATGTTTTTTTTTTATCACAACAAATATCAACCCGTACTTACGTACGAGTGACACGTTTAGCTGCTTAACGTTTCCATCAGCGGCTTACAAAACACACACGCACACGTGTGCACGCATTTGACACTCATCAATCTTACTCGCCATCGCCAGGACGCAACAACGATTTACTTGACAATCGACAGTAGTTGCGATGGGCACTCGCTGTAAATAATGAGATTAAAAAAAAACGTCTCCTTAACAGCAGCACTCACGTGACAGTTACTCAACATACACACAGAGAGCGCGCACACACACAAAAATACTCGGCACAAACGATTACAGCATTGCACTTGCTCCGACTGGTCTAAATAAACACCAGCGTGTCCGTGCCGGATGTGTGCGTGCACACACGTGTCTGTCTGTCGACTCGGCCTCACACGAGTACCTGATGTGCTGTGTGAATACCACCAACCGGGGGAGAGACAAAGGCGGCCGGGCGTGGTGTTGGGTCAGCCACCCTCTACGTGTGCGATGCCGGCCTTCAAAGGTGTTCGCGAAACACTGCACTTGTCGCCCTAACAGTCTCGTTAAAGGCGATACGGGTCTTTGCGTGTCTTGCGGACATGCCGATGTCGTGAGCGGACGTCTTTATTCCACGATTAATCAGCGCGCCCAGCAGACGGAACGGGCGGGGGGGGCGATTACGCGACGCAATGTAACCACGCACGTGTCAATGACTTCGCCGATGAAAAAAACACAAATCTGGGAGTCGATGGCGTTGACGCGGCCTGCCTACCCGCTCGCTGGCCCCGTCTATCTCCATTCATCGTACGAAGTAAAACAAACAAATGGAGTACAATTGATTCTACGTGCGCGTTTATATGACACGCCGCAGATGCGCAACACGGCACTGTATGTTCAACACAAGAGACTACCTGTGGATAACCAAAGTGATACTTTGGGTGCGTGTTCATATCCCAGCCATCGAATAACGGGCTGGCTTGGAAGGCCCTGGTTTATATAATGTAGCGTAAAGCAGCCTCTCTCGTCCGCGACTGTTGGTTATGCAAAGAGACGGACAAAGACACAGACAAAAACACACGGATACAAAGACACGCATATATACAAAGACACGCAGATACGACGACGCGTACATTAATACAAAGACACAAAAGACACGCACAACGCAAACTAGAATGAATTAGTTTGTACAAACTAGAATTCAAATGTGTCGCAACGAAACACAACTCGGGAGTGATTTCGTTGACAAAGGACACGGAACACAGCGGCGGCGCACGGTGACAACTCAACAACCGCACCGGTCACACATTGGGGTCTGTCAAAATAATTAAGACGGTGGTGGTGGTGGTGGCGGTAGGTGGTGGTGGCGTTGGGGTGGTGGTGGTGGGTGGTGGTGGTTGTGGTGGTGGGGTGAGCCTTCCCGAATTGACGTGGAGCGAGCTGGCGAGACGCGGCCGTGCTGTCGCGTTCATACAGACAGCGGGGAGCTCGCGGTGCCGTTCGGTTAAAGACCTCTCTCCTCTCTCTCGATCACCACCACCACCCGCGATCCGTGTAGGTGCCCTCTCCACGTCGCTAGACTGTTATCCGTCTACATTGCTACGCCGTGAGCCAAGCGGCAACGTCGCATCGTATCGCAAGCAAGGGATTGTGTAGTTCACGAGTCGTTGCGCAGACGGTGATACAGCGATGTAGTAGTACAGCGACGTAGTAGGTACACCTACTACGTCGCTGTATAACCGCATCGCCAAACGATTTGTATGTATCACCATGTGTTTGTGTGTGCGTGTCTTTGTGTGTCTGTGTAAGGGTGTGTAAGTGTGTGTTGAAGGGAGCAGTCGTGTAGCCGTTTGCGTGCCGAGTTCGATTATTAGAGCCGGTTCTGAGTCTCCCCTCGGTCGACTCAGCCTCATATGAGTACTTGATGCGGTGCGTAAACATCGCCACTGCGGAGACAAAGGCGGCCGGGCGTGGTGCTGGCCACCCATCCCCTCGTGTGCCATGTCGGCCTTCATAGGTGCTCGCTAACAGCACTTGCCCAAACAGTACGTTAAGGCTATACGGGGGATCTTTGTCTTGTGTGTATGTGTCTAAGTGGGGGGGGGGGGGTGTCGCGTGCTGGGCTACGAACGCGGCGACCAGAGTTTGATTCCCGCTCACGGCCAACGTAGATGCCCCAACAGTCTGTTCAATGGTGCTCGTTGACTTGTCTATCGACGTGCTTATATCTGTCTGTCTGTTTGTATCCGCCTATCTGTGTATTTATATCTGCCTATACGTGTGTGCGTGTCCGCCTGTATCGGTGTATACGCGTGTGTGTATCCGTCTGTACGCATATGCATGCGTGTGCTTGTTTCTGTCTGTACGTATCTGTGCTCGCGACCACACTTGCCCCAACAGTCTGTTCACGCGTGCTATATGGGTGATCTTTGTCTTTGTGTATATGTCTATGCGTGTGTATCGGTCTCATATGCGTGCTTGTATATGTCTATACGCGCGTGTGTATCCGTGTGCATCTCTCTGTGTGCATCTGTGTGTGTGTATGTATTCCACCCGTGGCCTCAAAGTGCACGTGGCCTGGCACAGGCGCCGTGGTGACGTCACTTCGTGGCGAACCCCGGTTCGATTCCCGTTCAAGGCCAACACCGGTTGACGATTATCTGAACCG